GCTGTCCCACCCAAGCTCCCCACTAGACCTTTTGTGCAGGCTTATGAGGAACCATTGCTTCTGCCTATCCCAGGACCACAGTCCTGGATAGAGAAAGAACACTTGGGTAGGTGGTCTCACGTCCACAACTAGAAAGGTCCAGTTAAAATGCCCTCACACAGTGTGAGGGGGAAGAAAAAAGAGAGAGAGAGAGAGAAACGTGTCACAGTAGATTGGGTAGAAAGAGGTGATGGGAGGGAAGGGGATGGGGGGATAGGAAGGGTAGAATACAATAGACACGAGTATGGCCCTATGTATAAGCGTGGCTATATAACCAATGTAATCCCTCAATCTGTACGTGTGGGAAAATAAGATTATGTACCCCATTTGAATCAAATGTATGATATGTCAAGATAATTGTAATGTTTTGAGCAACTAATAAAAAAATTTAAAAAAAAAATAAATAAAAAAGGACAGATGGGTTTCCAAACACTCTTGCTCGCAAAAATAGACTTGTTCCTTCCATGGTCATTTACATCTGGTTCCAGCAGCCAGCACATCCCACTTCCTGCCCATGCAGAAGGGCAACAAACTCAGAAAGAAGTGCAAGTTCATGAAGCTTCATAAGGAACTGAGTGACCTTGTTCCAAACTTCCACAGAGGAGCTTTATGATATAACGTATTTTCCCGAGCCCTCATTGAAAGACACCCAAAGGTGGATAGAAAATATAGTCCCCCGTAGGGATGACCAAGAGTTTCATTTTGACTTCCAGCCAGAAGAGCAAAAAGACAGTGGAATCACTAGCAAAACTCCTGGGAGTTTTTAAAGTTGGAGAAACATTTGTTGCACCTGAAATTATCTGTGTGCTATCTCTAGTATATAATTTGAAAATGCAAAAGGGAAGAACTTTAAAAGGGGAAGTGGTTGTAGGCTTTTGGGTCAGAAATGGGAATGTTCTGGGGCTGACTAATGACTCTTCTGACCTCTTAGACACTAAAATGTCTAAAGATTGTGAAAAGACAGCATCAGGAAGATGTCAGCATTTTGACTGCAATCTGGGTCAAAGGCCAAGGCTTACCGCCACACTAAGGGAATACATTGCTGGCTTACCAGAGGGAAGACAGAGACTCACCAGGTTTACAAAAGAACACCGGCACTTCTTAAGGCAAAAGAGTTATATCTGCTCCATTAGGCTAAAGCTGGAAGTCAGTGTCATGGTATCTGATGTAATATTGGAAAATGGAGAAATGCAGAACTGTTATTAGTTGACAGAGCACTGCTTTCTGCCTAGGGTAGTTTACCCAGCTGGCAACAGGCACAAATGATGATGGATATGTAGATGAAGTAACAAGCAAACAAGAGCATTTAAGTGACAGTGGTGTACACAAGGATGACATGTACAAGTCAGGCATAATAAACTAATCCCCCACACAATGAAAGGGGGAAATGAAAAGCAAAAATATATCTGTTTTGTGGTTGGGCTTGAACTGGTCCTCTGACATGCAGAACATGACCCTCTTTGTGTCCAGAGGAGAATGAGCAGGGTTTAAAATGTCATGCAAAAAACTCTTGAAGCCTGTGATATGATTTAATCCAGAGAAAAGAAGAGGTAAACAGGATGGGAGAGTTGCTCCAGTATTTGAAGAGTTGTCATGGGAAAGAGAATTGGACTGTACTCTGAGAGCAGGGTCCAATGGGAAAAGATGGAGGAAGATTTTCTCTCTCTACATATTGTAGTAATTAGACTTCCTAGTTTAGATGTTAAATGTCCCTCCAAAATACCCATGTTTTGGAGTCTCGTTCCTCAGGAAGAAGCCTTTTGCAGGTCACGGAAACTATAAGAGGTAGGGTCAAGTGGAAGATCTTTTAGTCACTGGGGGAATGCCCTTGAAGGAGATTGTGGGACCCAAGTCTTTTCCCCTCTGTTTCTCTCTTTTGCCACCTGGCTATGAGGTGAGCAATTTTGCTCTACTATATACTCCCTGATCTCAAGTCCAACCTTGTCATAGGCCCTGAGCAATGGAACCAATCAATCATGAACAGAAATCTCCAAAACTGTGAGCCAAAATTAACCCTTTATTTTTATATTTTGATTATTTCAGGTATTTGTTATAGTGATGGAAAGCTGACTGATACATAGGCCTTTCTGAATGGAAGTTGCTGCCTGGAGAAATAGAGAATTTCTGCTGATGGCTAGGACTAGTAGAAGCAGATTCATATCATGAGGACTGCAAGGCGCCCCCAACCCCTAATGAAGACACGACTGGAAATTCTGCCTTGTGCCTTCCTGGATGCAAGCATCAGGCTAACGCCTTTGGACATATAAACAGAATCCTTACAATAAGCCTGGGGATCATCACTATCTCCATTGTACAGATGAGGCTTGCAGATGATGACACAGAGTGGCTGAGTGATCTGCCACTACTACATGCTTATATTTAAACCCTGGTTGTTTTGGTTCCAAAGCCAGTGCTTTTTCCCATATATGCTAAATGGGGCTCTGATTCCCGATCCTTAAAGGAGAAAATTATTTGAAAATATAATCAAAACATCACATTCCTGGAGTCTAAAATAAAATTCTCTCAAGTATGAGACTCAATCATTCCCCAAGCATATGATGGAATCCCATAGGCCACTCTGCTGACAATTTATTGGTCTCCTAATAATCAAAAGGAAATAGAATTCATGCACTTATTTCTGAAACTTCTACCAGGAATTTCAGAAATTGAACTGGTTATATCCCTACCATAAAAGCAGTATGACACAGTTTGCAAAATTCATGAATTGTGTTTTCAGTCCAGCATATTTGTTTCATTTTGAGTCTCCAAGTATGACCCAGGGACCCCAGGAGTTGTCAAGATCCCTTCAGGAGGTCTGCAAAGTCAAAGCTGTTCTCATGAAAATATGATTATATTCTTGGCCTCTTTTATTCTCATTCTCAACTCTTAGTATTTTGCCCCCAGAGGTTAATTGTCATATGGTATCACAAGAGTTTGAATAAAAAAAGCGGAGCTGAGACTCCAGCTATCTTCCACAAAACCAGACATTAAAGAGATTTTCAAAATCATAAAATAACGCCACTTTTTATAGTAACTTATTTTTTTGTTTTGAAACTGCATTATTATCATAAAACTTTACTTATGATAATGTGCCACTGTTATTATTTTTAGTAAGTTAATAAATATTTCTTAATTTCTCATTTTAACTGCTAATATCATAAATAGGAATAGCTATAATCCTTTAAATAAGACATTTCTGGAATCCTCAATTGATTAAGAGCATAATTTTATATGTGACATGTGTTTATGAATTATATCATTCTATTATCCATTTACCTTAGTTTGCTTTGAATTTCACATACCATGAAGATGCTTGCCTGGCTTCTATTTCTACTGATATGTTCCCTTTAGCCACCCTCCTGTCCCCGGGATTTCCAGGAATCTGAAACTTCCTATCCCACCAAGTGGACCTGATCTTGCTCCAGAAAAATAAACTTTTTCTTTATTAGCGTGGACAATAAACAAATCTTCCCTTTCCTCCAGAAAGGTACACTTTCTCAATTTTCCCCAAACTTTTTTGCTATATAAACATCCTTGAGTTCATAGTTCCAAATAAAGGCAATTAGAACTTGTATGAACAAAATGTGCAGACACAAGAACCCATGGACAATTATCAAAAACCACTGTTTCCACTTATACACAGTAACCAGTTTTGTGTCTAAATTGGTCTCTTTTTAATGTATTTGATAGTTGAGATAATATTTGGTATTTAAATCCTAGTCAACTTTTTTTAGTCTTACGAACAGTCCATAACCCCCATTCAATTATGGTTACTCTTTAACAAAAAACTCTATTTTTTTTCCCCTTTTAGCCAATATCACCTACGGTTGATATTTTAACACTCTTTCCATGCCTAGAAAAATACAGAAACCAATTCAATATCAAAGATATCAGTGTTAAAAACAGGAGGAGAGAACAGATGGCAAATATACAGCAAATGCATTCTAGATAGTCCATTGGAAGGATGTGCATGAATGGATCTCTGTCCTTGTCAGAAAAGATATTCTTACCTTTGTGTAATGAATTTTTCTCCTAAACCAAAGAAAGGGGTTGTTCAATCCATGCTCACCTTTAAAACCTATTTAACTTTCTGGAAGCACGCTGAAGGAACTGTCAATAGCAATTTTCTCCGGAAAGAACAACCCTGATCAAAGGAAAGAAGGACACTTTCATCAATTGCATTCTGTTCTGTTCATCTTTTACAGTGATGATCATTTTTAAAAAAAATATTTATTTTGTGTTTGTTTTATTGTCCCCTTTGTGAAATTACTTGGCTAAGGGTCCCCCAGGCTTAAAGCTGTCCTTTCTCTTCATCTTGACCTGGAGGTTCAATGGAAGCTCTGTGTAGTCTTTCAACTCCATGCTGTCTACACTGCCCAGTGCTGAGCACGGACACCAACAGGAGACACCAAACTGGCTTGTTGTGAGGATCCCTACAAACCCATGGCAGCAAGCTTGCCACCCAAACCACACTGAGAACTATGTCACACCAGCTTGGTCTGGATACTCTGGCTGAACAGTCTAGAAAAGCAGACAGACCCCACTGATACCACATAGATGGAAGAGTAGAAATACCATACAAAAGTCTTTGTAATTGGAACAGAAATTCTGTGAGTTTCAAATGACCTCTTGGAGCAGTGTTCTGATAGTGCTTGAAGGTGGGAGGGGAAACTCCAGGAAAGTTCCAGGCTTATCTACCTGTATTATCTCCTATAAATTCATAGCACATCACAATGGAAAGAACCTGGTATTTGGGAGTCAGTTAACAGCTGTGTTTTGCAACCTAAAATTCACTGGTAACCAACTGTGTGACCACGGACAAGATCCTCAGACTCTATGAGTTTCAGTTACTCATCTGAAAAGTGAGGTTAAGAAGACCCACCTCCGTTTGATTCCTGCAAAGTAAGAAAAGAGACTGGCACATAGTGGGTGTCCAAAAAGATATCACTGTGTTAACAGACATCATGACGTTTTTGCCCCCTACAGTGTTGGTCATGCTGTGAGTCATCAGATCCTGTTTGCCGATGATGATCAGCTGCGCCCCAAATCAGAGCTCAGTGCTCCTTAGAATGGGCTGGCGAACGGGTTGTTCAGAGTGGGTTCTGGAGTCAGGCTGCCCACCCATAAAACCCAGCCTTACTGTGTTGGTCAGCTTTCCACCACCTTGACAAATGCCTGAGATGATCACTTTATAAGGAGGAAAAAATTCATTTTGGCTTACAGTTTTGGAAGTTCCACCCATCATCGGTTGATCCGGTTACTTTTAGGCCTGTGGTGAGCCAGCACATTGCGTTGGGAACATGTGGTAGAGGAAAACCTCTCACCTCCCAGCCAGGAAGTGAGAGGAAGAGGAAGGGGCTGGGGTGCCCCCGCCCTCTTCAAGGACATGCCCCCAGTGACCTGAAGACCTCCACGAGGCCCCACCTCCTAAAGGTTCCACCACTTTCCAAAAATTCCAAGCTGGGGACTAAAAAGCCTTTAAAACACAGGCTTTGGGGTGACCTTCCAGATCTAGCCTTTAGCAGCCACCGTTTTCTAGTTGATGATCCTGGACGAATTTGCAATTTCTCTCTGCTTTTTTTTTTTTTTCTTCTGTTAGAGAGAATAATATACCTCTGACAATAAAATGTCAGATTATCTGCCATCTAGAAAGCACTAAATAATTGTACAAACAATACCATTAGTTTATATTAGAAGGATCAGTCTGGGAGTCAAGTAGAATCTCCCCGGCGGCCCCCCCAACCCCACCCCGCCACCCCTGCCCTGAAACCTGTACTATGAAACTCATCAGGAATTGCAAACACCCTTTTTAGAAACAGGAAATCCTTAGTGATACAGGTATTTAGAGGAACTTTCTGAGAAAAAGAAGTTGCCAGAAGAGAAGAGCTGAACTCCAAAGTTTACTAAGTTCTTTTTCTGTGGATAAATAAACTGGTTGTTCATGACAGCAAACTTTCAATACCCACCCCCATGAGTCTCATACTGCTATGAAAAGTACCTATTTGGTCAAATTTTTCAATGGAATTTTTCAAATACGTCAGAAGAGATCAAATCCTTGCGTGGTCATGGGAGGATGTCCATTGGAGACAACATTCAATTTAAATATGTTCTTTCACTAACAATAATGCAACAGACCATTGCCATCCATGAGTAATATAACTGTAAGACCCACAGATCCCCAAAGAGAAATAACAATTGCACAGATAATAAGCTTCGTCATAGGTGACATTTCTATGAGAATCAAGTTTTCTTGCAGATCCTCAAACTACCATTTAAACATCAAATGTCAAGTAATTTGATGGGCTTTTATTTTCCCCTGCCACATAAAAACACATTCTTTTTCAATTCTTGATCTGATCAGGTGAGCAGGGAAAAGTGGGCCTGTAGCCCAGCTGCCAGGGTTCATTCTGGTTCATATGTACCAACTGGGGGGCCCTGCCACATTACCTGGTGCTTCTGTGACTCAGCTTCAGTGTCCCATCAGGGAATAACAGCCCCTACTTTTTAGGTTTGTTTTGAGGATCAAAATATAACTGATAATTGGAAGCTGCTTTTGCTAAAAGCACTGACTCTTCATTTGGGCCTGCAGATACCTTGTGGGTAACTAAAAGCAGAATCAAGCTTGGCATCTCTGCCTTCATTATTAAATCTATCTTCAGGTTCCTGCTCAGTTCTTCAGAGTTGACATATTAATCATTTAAGGAAAGTTCATCTAAAAACTGGTAATATGATGTTTAATAGTCCTAAATTTACCTAACCTGTCTTGTCCCTCAAGGAACAGCATAGACTTGAAGCGTATCCCCCAGGATGACACTGTCCCCTTAGCAAGAGCAATAGTTTCATGGAAACTGACTTGCCCACCTTCCAGGATTACAGGTTTGATAAATAAACATTCTAAACAGCAAATGGAGAATGCCCCCTCAAGTGATAAGGAGTTCACTATAGCCACCTCACTGAAACAGAACTGAAATAACAATCAACCAGATCACAGTTTGACCAAGACTGTGTAATTATGCATTCCACACTCCCTGCCCTGGTTCTTCTTCCATTGAAATAAAAAAAAAAAATTATGTTAGTGCCCTGAACAAAGACTGAGACTGAGACACTTGATCTTGCCTTGCCTTCACAATATGACCATGATGATTAAAACTCCTTTCCTAGGTTGAGACAGGAGGATCTCAAGTTCAAAGCCAGCCTCAGCAAGGGCAAGGCACTGAGCAACTCAGTGAGACCCTAACTCTAAATAAAATACAAAATAGGGTTGGGGATGTGGCTCAGTGGTCGAGTGTCCCAGTGTTTCAGTGTTTGATCCCTAGTACAAAAAAAAAAAAAAAAAAAAACTTACCTTCTTGCTTTTCACAATTACTTTTTCTGTTTCGTTTTTAGGGTAAGTGGCTGGACCTAATTTGTTGGAACCCTCAGAGACAGGCTTCTGGCCCAGGATTCAGATAACAAAAATACATAGATATGTGGCTAGCACATGGTAAAAACCCCATACATGTTACTTGTTGTAATTGTTGTTATTAGGAA